GATATACCGGTATATCGTTACACCCCTAGTATACACACATCAGTAGCAAGGTAAAGCCATGTAGAAGGGAATGGTAGGGTTTTTTTCGCGCCAATAGCGGCGTACGGGCCGCATTCTCAGCGCATGCATTTTGCATGCGATCTCACGAAATTTCAATGAACCCCGTTCTGTCCCAATATAACCCTCACCAAAATATAAAAAAGGTTATATGGGACAGAATTATTCGGTCTATAGTGAGTAGTGACCGATTGCAACGGATTCTAGCTCGGAAACAGATGAGATATGTACAATGATTCGCCACTATTACTAGTAGTAGTAGTAGTAGTAGTAGGCCTAATAGTAATACGCAACTCCACCAATCTGCTGACTAAGTGACTTCTAGACTAATAGTAATATGAACAATAATTCACCGGCACTTGATTAGCAGCTGCAGCAGCAGTGGCAGCAGCCGCTTGAAGTTGAGCAACAGCTTGTTGCTGGTCATCTTCTTCTTGATCCTCCGGAGTCACGAATGCCGAATCGTCAGAACTCGGGATAACTTCGGCGAGCTCGACCTCCGACATTTTGTTGAACTTCGTATCCATTCGGCTTTGCATAAAAAAACCTGTATTATTTAGCATAAGGCGGCAGAAAAAATAATTCTAGGAGACATGTAATTGACCGACGAGCCTGGCGAGCATAATAAATTGCAAATACAATGTTACAGAATGTAAAAATAGGAAAATTTGTCAGAAAATTACCGACGAAGGTGAAAACACAAGAGCAGCAATTAAGTTTTTCGTAATACTCGGGAAAGTATTGTAAATATTCACGTACAAATGTACAAATTTAAGCGTAATTTAATAAATATTACTTAATGCCGTGTATAATATCAGCATTATATTAAAAAAGACAATTAAAATTGTTATTTTTTTAAAGAATTAGTCATATCATCTGGTATTTTGGCGAGATATATCGCCAGCAGTGCAGCACCACAACATCCGGTAAGCTGACATTGTTATGGTCACATGGCGCGTATTTCAGTTACAAAACTGTGTATTTTTACTTTTACTTCTTGTTGTTGAAGAATTTACATAATTATTATGTATGTTATAGAAGAGATTGTGGGAAAGGTATGGAATAACTCCCATCAAGACTATGCAATGTGTACATGTATCCCAACGCTAGTCCACAGAGAATGCAGCGCTAACGGGTTTACCTGCTTGCCGCTAAGTGGCGTTGGCGCTGGTATCGCCTCAATGTCACACACGTTTGGGCATATTTACCTGTGTTGACATGGTTCACTGCCTTTACTGTTTACCTGTGGTCATACACACTACACACATAACTAAAACTAGGGCGTTCCCTAGTCTACGCCTAGCCTCGGTGTTGACACTGTTGCGTTATATGCCAGTACGCTCGGATAAAACGCGTAAAAAATTTGGGTCAGTCTACGTGGGCCATTTTAAATTATAGCATCATTGAGAAGGGAGCTAATACTAATAGTAATACGGCTAGCAAGACAGACATGATGAAGGAACATGACTATGGTATACGTAGTAGTACTACTAGTACTAGTACATTTTTAAAAAGATTTTTCACTAAGTTAATTGTAAATGTAAACTTGTTACTGTTAGAGTGTTACTGTTAGGTGCGGAACATATATTGTCATTTATTGATATAATATATATACGTGAGTCACAGATTGTTGGGATTGTGTACACTTACCTTAAATGTTTGAATAAGACAGAAGGGAGTAGGTTGAGGTAGCAAAGCGGGGTATTGGAGAAGGAAGATAGATGATGGATTATGGAAGACAGGATAAGAAATTCAAATAGACAGGGGGAAGGAAGGTCGTTAAGTGATAGATAGAAGGTACATTTAACAGAGTGGCATATATCTGACGGCTGCCGGGCACGGTCTTAGATTTCCTAAATGCCCGGCAGTTTTTAGTTTTCAGCGTTATCTTAAAAATAAACAAGGGTTAGGGTTAGGAACTGCCGGGCATTTAGGAAATCGAAGACCGTGCCCGGCTGCCGGGCATATAGCCACAGCGTACATTTAAGGAATCAAGGGAGGTTACAGGTTGATAAGAAATCGTGGTGAGAGGCGATAGGTTGATAAGGGATGAGGAAGTGCAGTGTTTCCCCTGCATTGACACGAGCGAGGCAGGCCACCTCGCTCAAATTCTCAGCCGCCACACAGAAATTTGTCCAAAACACTGCATCGCTGACGAAAATCAATGTTCTTCCATAGAACAGTCCTTATAATGCACCAAATTTACCACCTCACACCTTTTTGGCCAGGGGAAACACTGAAGTGGACATTACTTATGGGTATAAGGGGTGGAGAGAATAAGAAGTGGATGAGGAATAGAATGGAGTTGAGAGGATCGATAAGGCATTGAGAAGACATTAGAGTATAGATGCGGGAAAATGAGGAAAAGGAATGAGGGGTCAAAATTTAGGGGTGCACCGGATCCAACTTTTTAAGTTCTGGCCGGGACCGGAACTTTAGCTGGAAATAAACTTGACAGTTTTGGCCCAGTATTGCGCAAACTCACTTGGCCTGAAGGAAATATCATTAGCAGGCACATCACTCAGGCGAGTAGGACAATGCTGAAAGTTCTAATTACGGGATGGTTGTTAGGTGTATGAATCGGCTGCTTACAGTGCATAATTTTCATAATTCCGGCATCTTATTTGCGAGCAAATTCTGTGGCAAAACCTGCATGTTGCAGTATCCCTGGTTTTAGTCTATTATTTTCAACATATAGACAGATGCCATTCCTGTGGCTCTAAGAGTATTTGATTATAAAAGAAAATCTGATGAATCACCTAACATCAGTTAGGTTCACTTTAGTTAGTTAGCCAAGGTTCAAGTGGCAAGCGTTTTTTTTGGGCGGAATAGTGTTAAAAGTTGTTAACAAGTAATATTGTCAGCATGACTCAGCAAGTTGACTCTATTGACTCTCTACCGACCTCTGCAGGGGTCGAAATTAGTGGTATCCCGATATCTGCGGGATAGTAGATTCTTGTGTTGGATACCAGATTTCAATGCTTGGTGCTGGGATAGTAAAAAAAAAATCGTCAAAATCGGGATAGCGGTTGTTGAGCATATTTGCAAGCGTAAGCGTAGCCGATGTTGATCATAAATGTGATGTGTATACATTGTATCAAGCGAACTAGACAATACGTCTGCAGTGTACTTGTCTGTGTATATCTGTGAATCTGTTTTCATGTTTTTATATAATAGGCGCGTTCACACTGGCGGGAATTAGCGGAAATCTCACTAAGTATCGCGATCAGCATCGCGCTGCAAATCGCACTTTTGACTGCGATTATTTGGGAATTAGCGCGATTAATCTCACCGCGGCGTGTGTGTGAACGCTCGCCCAAATAATCCCGGTATTTTCTATCCCATCATTCCAAGCGATCGTATCAACATCCGGCAGTGAGCATGCGCAGTTCGATTAATAGAATTATGCCGCTCGGCGATTAGCGAGATATTTCCGCCTGTGTGAACAACGACACAATTATCTCGGTATTTCCATCGCGATTAGCATCGCGGTTTTTCTTGTGTGTGAACACGCCTATTAATTACATTACATATTAATAATTTTCAAATTCTATTATTGCATATTTCAAGATTTTGGATACCAACATTGTTGAAATTACTATCCAAAAAATTGGATACCAGATCTTTGGGGGGGATACCGGATTTCAATACCTGGTATAGCGAATGGATACCATAATAAAAATATAATTTCGACCCCTGCTCTGTGTTATTCGATAAGTGCAAGCCAAACTTATAAGCCATCTTTAGAAGTCTACATTCAGTGACTGAACTTTTGATCTTGATTGATGACGCTTGTAGCAGAAATGAAATTAGGAAAAGTTCCGGTTCCGGCCGACTGTTTCTGAAGGGTTCCTGCTGGAACCGGGCTAATGCTCCATTAGGAGTGTTCCCAACTTTCACTAACCTAAATGACATTAAACCACAAACCTAATATATGACCATGACCATATATATATATGCAGGCTTTCATTTTTAAGGGGCGCGATCGCGCTCGGCGCTCCACCGCGCACTGACGAAATTCGTGCCATGGTGCGCGCATCATCCGCGCCTACATAAAAGTGGTTGAAATCGCGCACCAAAAGTAATGTCTATTATGTTGAATAGCGCTCCATAGAGTTCTCATGTAGGGGGGTACAAAAAGGTTAGCAACACACAACAATTTGTGTGTGTAAGTAACTGAACGTATGGCAGAGGTACAGGTCTGGTTACTACCCTCTGGTTTATATATATATATAAATATAACTAAACAACAGCATCCAAATACAGGTACCTATACGGTAGCCACAAGTTACCTGCTCGTTTCTACTATATAACGTGGCGAGAAGTGGTTTTCTGCCGACGTGAAACAGTCGTAGGGCTGGAGGGGCTACATACGTGGGCTAACTACGTACAAGTAATTTGGCTAGTTTGTTTGATGGATTGTGATCGATATTTTCGTGCTGAAATTTGCAGGTACATGGATTAGAATCTCTAAGGATGGAAATCAGAAATAAATAAAACAAGTTTATTTTTACATCCGATCAACTCTTTTATTAATCTGTGTGCTAGTGTTGGGTTGTTGGATGAAAAAATGTAATCCTGACGAAGCCATTGAATGAATGAAGCGTGAAGATTGAATGATAATCAGTAGATTGACATGACATCCCAATTTTCGTTTTGGATTTCACTCTAGACTGAGGATTGGTCATTGATTCCATCATCATGACCCAAGAGGCATTGATGGACGAGCCCTCAAGGAGCTCTCCATCATCCTTTTAAAGGTGTGATTTTAGTGGCGCTCTCCATCATGGCCTCTTAACTCTTAAGGGTGTGATTTTTTAGTGGAGCTTCTCCATCATGCCTTTAAAGGTGTGATTATGGAGGCGTGAAAAGACCCCCTATGTGTCCTAGGAGTCATTAGTAGTCCTCCTGTACTTTTCAAATCTGAAAAGCCTGACTATATATATATATATATATATATATATAATAATATATATATGTTATTATGACCATTAATGACATTAAAGTTGGGAACACTCCTAATGGAGTATCACCCCGGAACCGGAACTCTGAAAAATTGGGGATTCGGCCGGATAGTTCTGGTGCACCCCTAGGCCAAATGTAATACTCAACCAAGGATAGAGGATCTGTACACGGGCTGGTGGATTGTGAAAACGAACCATCCCGGTGGGTTGGTGATAATTTTTAGTCAATCTGTGTCTTGGCAGCTATAGTATAATATTCTGTTTTGCGAGCAGACAGCCATTGTATGTACCCATAGCTGACCAGTTCAGATAACATATGTGCCTGTTCGTATGAAATTAGAGAGTAACTAGGACGGAAGTGAGGGGAAGGAGGTGGATGAGGGAAGTGAGTGATTGAGTATAGAGAGAAGGTAGAGGAAGTGAGGGGAAGGAGGGGGAGAAGCTGTAAGAGAAGGTAAGTCGTATAGTGGGTGTAATAGGAAGATGTGCTGGAGGTACCTGGAGAATGAACAGTAACGAGGGGAGGTAGGCAGAGTAGGGAGAAAATGAAGGAAGGGAAGAGGAAATAGGAAAGATATGGGAATGAGTGAAGGTGGATGCATTGCCTGGTATGAGGGGTTGTCCACATCTGTTTATCATTTTGTGATAAATGCTTGTCATTCTGCACATCATTTTGAGATGTGTGAAAAATATTTAAATAAAAATAATAATTAATATTATAAATATATATATTCATGTTATGATTCATTGTACTATTTGGAGTAGTCATAATTGAGTCTATAATTACAACAGCATTTTTATAATTGTAGGCCTATGTAATTTGTAAATACCATTAAAAGACCTCTAGTACAATGCATATAGGCACAATCATGTTCAAAGCTAAGGTCTGCATGGTTTTCAATATACATATCACACCTATGAATGATCCTGACTGTTAGAAAATTGATGTAAAAGTTAGTCTGTATTTAATTAATACACGTCATTGCAAACTTGTGTCAACAGGGAAGGAGACCAGCAATGTGTCGCTGACTGGTTTGCGATCATTATCAACGGAAGAGCCGGCGGGCGGCCATGTAAACACTGCTTTCACCGCCGACCATGGGACTGAATTCGCTAACAGCAAGGCGAAGGAGGTGGAAGCGGGTGAGAGAGTCGAGCAGCGACCGCTGTGCAGCAAACCCTACGCGGGAATGTCGAAGGAAGAGCTGTTGCAGTTTTCGCAGAAGCCGTTCTGGGTCGGTCTCCGATGGGCTGGATTTATCACCTTCTGGTTGGGTTTCTTCGCCATCGTCGCAGCCGTCATCGCCCTGATTGTCCTGGAGGAGAAATGTCCGGAGGAGAGCCTGGACTGGTGGCAGACGGAGGTAATCTACCAGGTTTATCCGAGATCGTTCCAAGATTCCGACGGTGACGGCGTGGGAGATCTCAAAGGTGTACATGTCAGCCGCTGCGTTTCGATGCTCGTTCTGATTTATTTGTGCCATTTATTATTTAAAAAATTATTTTTAATCGATTATTTTGTTTTGATTAATAATTTATGTTTATTTAATTAATTGATTGTTAAATGAGATAGTGATCTGTATGTCGTGATAACACGCGTTTTCGTGGTAATTTTAGGTGTTTCCAGTCGTTTGGACTACTTGCAAGAACTGGGAATTGGGACGATTTGGATGAATCCCATATATAAGTCTCCGATGAAGGATTTTGGTTACGACGTCTCTGACTATGTGGACATCGATCCTATATTTGGTACTATGGAGGAGTTTGAACATCTACTGGGGATAATGCATGAAAAAGGTAATAAACACATAGATTAGAAACAAACACATCGACTACTGATCACGTACGTGACATAGTCGGGTTGTATCAAGAGTCATAATTATAGCCAGAAATAAAAAGTTATAAATAAAAACAAAACCAACCCAATTCAGGACTAATAATTTCATATTTTCATTTTTCACATATAGTTTCTTATGTACATCTTATTCCAGAGATCTTATCTTTCTTCCGTTCAACAAGGATCTGGCATCTTTTGTAGACAATGTCAAGATGTATTCCTCGTAACAGTAAAACTCCAAACAAATTGCGACTACTGGACATGGAAAAAAAAATTGCAAAACCCAAACTTATATCAGCGTGGTGTATGAAATATTTTCATTCTCTCGTTGGATTAGTACTGATAAAGGAATAACGCATAAATATAGTAGTGAGAAGAACTTCACAAAATTTTGTTATTAGGTCTAAAACTAGTGATGGACTTTGTGCCAAACCACAGCAGTGACCAGCATCCGTGGTTTGTCGAGAGCAGGAAGAGCAGAGACAACGAGTACAGCGATTATTACGTGTGGGTTGATAAACGCGACTGCAATACCATGTCGTGTGATACATCGTGTAGTGGCAACCAGCCCCAGGGCTGTCCACCCAACAACTGGGTACGTAGTACCATAGTGAAGCATTTTGTCAGAGACTATTATGTGTTATTATCTGTATATAGTCATTAATTGACTTGTCAAATATATCAAAGTAAACAACTATAATTACTTGGATGATTATTAAAATCGCTACTTAACATGTATAAAGATAAAGAAAGTGGCCTGAGCCAACGAATGGTTAAACAGATTTTTATTACAGTTAAGTGTACCTAGAGGGTCGGCATGGAAGTGGGACCAAACAAGGCAGCAGTACTACCTACACACGTACTTGGCTGAGCAGCCAGACCTCAACTTTAACAACCCGAAAGTTGTCAAAGAAATGCAGGTACACATGCTATATTTCGTATACAGGATTGATTGAGTGATTATTTGACCAGCCATTATTGAGCTTGTGCTTGCATTCATATTATTTATACATTATAATATAAATTGTAAATGACGTTTCTGCTCTTTATACATTGACCTTTTGTTGTATTTGTCACAGGATATTCTTCTGTTCTGGTTGGACAAGGGAGTAGATGGATTCAGATTAGATGCTGTGTCTCACATACACGAGGATACAGACTACTACAATAAGGACGAACCCCCGAGCAACAAGCCGAATATAACAGCTGTAAGAGACAACAGTTTATTAGCTCATCTGACATAGTCAGATGCAGCTTGTAGAATCGCATGATTGTCCGTGCGTGCGTCCGTCCGTCAACAGTTGGGCACAAATCTAAACAGCTCGACATACGGGCACGATATTCGGGACGTGGGGGGGTAATCCGAAAACGAGTTGGGATGTCGAAGCTGGGGGTCAAAGGTCAAGAGGTGTAAAAGAAGGGAACATTCCCTCCTTAACTTAAGGTATAGGGAGGAAATGCAGAATTGCGGCACAAATCTAAACGGCTCGACCTAGGTCATGGTAGGAAAAGCCATCACTGTGTCGAAATTGGAGGTCACAGGTCAAAGGTCAATGGGGCACAGGGCAGATTTTAGACATTTTCTGAGGACATGGTCTGACGGTGCGATTGAAAAACTTTTTTGTTTCAGAGGTGACCTAGCATTTTTTTGGCTTTATTGAAAGGACCATGAAATGTACTTTCTGCTGACATGCGAAGAGTAAGTGTCGGATAACCTTTTGACCCTCAAGAGGAGGGTTAAACATGGGCATTGTTGGACTGTTGACAAGGACTGAACTGGCTTGTGCTATTGTGGATGTGGAGGCTACAGTTGCTCTAGTGCAATTGCAAGGCATATGTTTGTTGAACAAGGTTTACAGCTCTTTATCATATTATTTTCTAAGAGCGCTCTGTATTAGCACCTGCATGTAGCACCCTGTATTGCCACACTTGTAATGAACCTGAATGCTCGGCTGTGCGGTATGGGCAAAAACTGGGGGCAGCCATTACGCACTGCTGGGGGTCTGTAACTGGCACTTTCTAATCATAATTATTACAATGAGTCAGTATACTGTTTTAATATATTAAGAAGATTTGATATATATTTCATGGGTTGGATATCTGCTACAGTAAATTAATAATAATTGTATCTCAGTTTTTAACAACATGTTCTAATTTAAGTCACTGAGACTGCAAAGCACGGCGCTATTACCTTATAGTATGCCAAACGCAGTTTTACCAGTTCTCGTCGCACCACTTGCCGGTTTAACCGTGGTCATATTGTTTTTAACGTTTGAAAAATATATATATTAAATTTATACAGGGTGTAGCTAAATAAAGGCTTCCTACGGTAAGAGGCTTGTATAGTCTAACAAATATACATTTACTTCGGCCACACTCCACAGACGGAATCCAGTGCCATCAAATTTACAGTATGGTAATTTTACTAAAATTTTTTGTTTTCGACAAAATTGTTTCTAGTGTAAGCTATTGGAGTACCCTGATGTGCTCTAGATTGATTCAGAGCTTATAATTTTCAAAAGTTTTGGCCAGCCCCATAGAAGTCGCCGATGTGTACCAGCTACCGTCTGTCTCTCTGCTGTCAAGTGGAAGTACTGTTAGTTACAAGGAGCTACATATACAACAGGAGCGTCTTATTAGATGACAAAATATTATTTGTCATTATTACGCTGCCTTGATAACAACGATGTTGGCGTTTCCTTAGTTGTGAGCCACGGCAACGGAAGCATTAACAACAGTCATCGAGAGCGGAGGAAAACACGAGGCGATTATGATTATGGGACTATTGTAAAATGACTATAAACATAAGCACGAACATGATATTTGCTGTTTTTTACTGTATTTGCTCCAAATGGCGGCTACAGCTTTGCTGGCGGGCTGAGCTATTTTAGAGCCTATGGCCCTGCAGGCTACAGTTTTCTGGCTGCGAGTGGCACACTGAGTGGAGGTTATCACCACGAAGGGTGATGCCATCGCTTTTGATTATTGATGACACTTGCACGCGCTATCTCGCGCAACTGCTTTTTGGCTAATTGCATGCCCCCTTCCACCGCCCCTCCCTCCATCTCCCCATCCACAATACGCTCTCTGCGCTCGACGCATATCCAATGATAACTGTTAATTAGCGACAGTCATTAAAAGTTACACAACTATACTTTAATTAGCTCATCTGACATAGTCAGATTGCAGCTTGTAGAATTCGCCTATGAAGCGTGCATCGTGCGTCCGTGCGTCAACAGTTGCGGGGCACAAATCTTAACACGCTCGACGTCCAGTCACGATATTTGCTTGGGGACGTGAGGGGGTGGGGCTGAGAAATCGACAAGTTGGCATGTCGAAGCTGCGGGTCAAAGGTCAAAGTCAAGAGGGTGTAAGAAGGAGAAGAAACATTCCCTCCTTAACTTAAGGTATAGGGAGGTGAATGCAGAATTGCGGCACAAATCTAAACGGCTCGACCTAGGCTCGTGATAGTTGATGCTATAGCATCATGGTAGGAAAAGCCATCACTGTGCCTTAATTGGAGGGTCACAGGTCAAAGGTCAATGGGGCTCAGGGCAGATTCTAGACATTTTCTGAGGACATGGTCTGACGGAGCGATTGAAAACTTTTTTGTTCTAGCCGGTGACCTACCATTTTATGGCTTTATTGAAAGGACCATTAAATGTACTTTCTGTGACATTGCAAGAGTAAGTTGTCGGCTAACCCTTTTGACCCTCAAGAGGAGGGTTAACATTTGATGTTGACTGTTAAAAAGGACTGAACTTGCTTTTGCTATTATTAGAGCGCATACCTGTGTGAAGTGAGGCTACAGTTGCACAGTTTATTGCAAAGGCAAATGTTTGTTGAACAAGGTTTACGCTCCTTAAATCATATTATTATATTATTTTCTAAAGCAGTCTGTCTATAGCACCCTGAAGGCTGAATCAGTGAATGCTCGTGTGGGTAGGCAAAAACACGGGGCAGCCCATGGCTGGCACGCTTCTAATCATAATTGTTGCCTGCCAACCTGCAATGCACATGTGTCTGCAATGCATAGAGATTAGGTGGGTGCGAAAGTGTATCTGATATATTTGTTCCAATTGGCTACGAAAGTCAAACAAGAATAAAGAAGACATGTATAAGACGTCTTGCTATGCACAAATGAATTTATCAGCAGAACACCAGACAACAGCGATGGGATGGGAGGGTGCTCTTCATTCATTTGCCAGTGAGTTTAGCATCATAACACCTGCCGTCAGGTGAGCGCTGTCGCTCTGCGGCACTTGTGTTTTTATACACGGAACAGCAGATACTACCGTATTTACTCGTGTATAAGTGACACTTTCTTGCACACAACTTCAATATAAAAATCAGAGGTGCGACTTATACACAAGGCTAAGAATTCTTGTTAATGTACCAATGTCTATACCAACTTTTCAAGGCAAAATATGGGGTGCGATTAATACATGGATGCGTCCTATACGTGGGTGAATAGGGTACTTTTTTCTCAAGTTGCAAGAGGCATATGTAACCTGCTAGCTAGTCTTCTATTGGGATCTCTTCACTAAATCGACCTGATCGAGAAATATGCAGAGCTGTCTGTTGTTCCACCTGGCTACAGTTGTGTCCAACTCTCACCCCCTTATGTTTCTTCCCAAATATCTGCCAGCTTGTGCATGTCTGTCACTGGTATTACTAAACCTAATATTTCAACTTATAGGTTCTAGCTTCCTACCTTACTCACCGAATGTTTAGTCCGACAAATGATTACATTCATTATTGAAATTACGGATATCTATGGATACCTTTAACTTATGGACTGTTTTCTTGGGTTGACTGTTTCTGGGTTACTATCTTGCATGGGTTTGCTCAAATACTTCCATAATACTATTACTGTCTATATACTGTCATCTTAATTCCAGGATGACTACAAATATCTGAAACACATCTACACGTTGGACCTTCCAGATACAATTGAGCGACTGCGAGAATTCAGACAGGTCATGAATGAGTATGGCACCACAGCTGAAAAACATATGTAGGTATAAAATGTGCAATGTGGCTTGCGACATGTCGCTATGTGGAATATGCGCAATCATCGTTGTAGCTATACGCCGGGCGCCAATAGCCGGCTCTGGTGTTGGCCGACCATCACGCAGCTTTAAATAACATCCTTCCGACCGGCACAAAAATGATTGAGTTTGTGTAAAATTACCTTCAAAATAGTGAGCATCAATCCACAAATAATCACAACTGATACACTTAGAATTACTTTAAAAAACAACTGAGTTTAATCTCAACCATAATTATGCGTAAAATCTTCATCTGATCGCATCGTACAGCGCACGTTCGCAATCACTGATATTAGCCGGCACTAAAATTGTCCTGGCTACTACCCTGTGCACAATCATACTTGGGGAAAAAATTTGTCGATCCACATGAGCTTCACGGCAAACGTAGCTTGAATCCTGCTTAAGATATTGATCAAAAAGTGATTACATGTGCTTGCTTCAAATTTATCATCCTAAAAATTATCATAAAATAGATGAAATCTGTCTAAAAACTGGGTGACTGTGGTAAAAAATGAGTTAGGCTTTTTTGGGAAAGGGAATTGATAGTGAATATTAAAATTTCATTGCAGATTCAGTGTCAATGAAGTATACATTACCGAGTATACCGACGTTGAAACAATCACCAAACATTACGATGTAGCTGACATGCCCTTCAACTTTGACCTAATCGGAGGCTTAGGTCCGGAATGCCACACTGGAGCCTGCATATATGGTTTGGTCAATACCTCTCTTGGCATGGTGCCAGAAGGGAGGTGGTCGAATTGGGTTCTAGGGAACCATGACGAAGGACGTATTGCTAGCAAAATGGGAGGGACCTATGAAAGTGCTATGAATGCTCTCTTGTTACTGTTGCCTGGAACGCCGACGACTTACTATGGCGAAGAGATTGGCATGTTGGACCACGGAAGCATCACCTTTAATGAGACCAGGGACCCACGCGGGTTAATTCTTGGACCTGTGAGTAAAAACTTATCATAAAACCTAACTTTTATCAGTGGTAGATAATGATAGATTATTGTTAGATGACTGTTGTTATCACTAGATACCACCAAAGATTAAGAATAACAAGTCACGACACTTCAGTGATTTTAGGTTCATTCTCCTGCTGGAACTTATTGTTAACAATGGAAGTTGCTCTGATATCAGGGATTATTTTTTAATTATCAAAGTTTTATTGACAACGATTTTTGGAAGGAAAAAAACAATTTTTAATAAAATTTAAGAATTATTGCTTTGGATTATATTATATTTAATTAAAAAGGGGAAAACCTGGTTTTTATCATTTTATTCATGTATATTAAATTACCAAAATTTGGACATGTACGTGCAATATACATGTACAGATTCGGTTATAGTAATAATGTGATATTGGCTATGTATGTGTGTTGGTGTGGGTGTGCATGTGCGTGTTGTGTGTGTGTGTGTGTGTGTGTGTGTCAAGAGCTATTAATACCTTATTATTTATTACTAGCTCTTGATATATAATATATATATAGACCACGCAATATATATTGTATATATATTTTAATTCCCATAAATTGTATTTTGGTAGTTCATAATTATACAGCATGTGTCATCGTGTAGGTATATTAACTTTATAGGTATGTTTGTTCATATCCACTCTGCAACAGTTCTGCAAGAGACAATGTTGCCAAGTCATGGTTTAAGGTAATGGTGCATGTGTGAATGTGGGCACCAGTGCAACCACAAATTTATCTGTGTGCCTAGTGGAACTGGAATGTTACACTGGTGCATCTAACAAGTTGCAACTCTGTTATGATATTACCAGGAGTAAGATAATATAGGAGTATATAATATGTACATAATATAATCCTATATTATCTTACTCCTGATATTACTTGAAAGCAAAATCAAACATAGGCAAGTGACAGTAACATAATTATGGAATGCTTTTGCAGTGCACCAATAAGTTAATTAAAAATCAAATTAATTTGGACACCGGCAGGTAAATGGGTTTGGAATCAGTATCTCGAAATGCAAATAGACTGTGTGATAGACTGTGTGATAGCTCACAGAGATAAAATGCTATGTCATGGGCAACTAGAACATCATTTTTGTTTTCTTTTTACAGGATCGGTACCAGGAGCACTCCAGGGATCCGGCGAGAACCCCGATGCAATGGGATTCTTCCGAACCATCTGCCGGCTTTTCTACAAACCCAGAAACATGGCTGCCGATGCATCCAGACTACAAGACTATCAACGTACAGGTAGGAGTGTTTATATGATTTTCTTTGAATTATGATCGATTGGTGGCTTTAAAGTTAGATGACTGATTGATTGAGTAATCGATTGATTAACTCCTTGCTGATTTTTTGGCCAGCTTCAAGTGATGATTGACAACTCGACTCTAAACACCTACAAGGCTCTCGTCGCCCTGCGAGCGAAGAGAAGCTTCCAGGAAGGAGATTTAGTGTTGGCAACGCCAACCGATAACCTCTTCGCATTCAGTCGTAACTTCAAGCACGGCGAACCGTCGTACCTGTGTGTTATGAACGTCGGATATGAAGCTGAGCTGTATGCAAGCAGTGAGGATGTTACTGCCAACAATGAGGGAGAGGTGAGTCATGAAACATCATAGCAGAGAGAAATGTTCGGTGTAGAAAACCTGTACTGTTGTAGTAGTTATTTTGTGTTTGTAAAGCTACGTAAGTGTAGTTAGTAGTGTGTACGTATCACATAATTGCGAAGCTTGATTTTTTAAGTATTTAATATGCAGTATCTCCACTAATTACAATTGATACCATGTAATTATCTGTTGTAAACTAGTTTAAAATCGATGTTAAACTAATTTTCTTAGCGTCTCCAGTTTCTATTTGGAAATTCAGCCGTTTAGATTTATTAAATGGTTATACAAGAAAAATCAAATATCAGTGTTATAAAATCCGTTTCATACTTCAGGTGGTCGTCAAATATGGAACGAGGTTCAAGATCGGGGATAAAATTAAAATTGACGAACAAATCCAACTCGACCCAGGTGAGCTAGTTGTGGTTGAGTTCTACTTCTACTAATATTTCTATGCACGTCAAATGAACCCGTTTTATTAACCTTAGATCTGTCAATATAAACTTGATTACTGTGCATATATTGATGAGGTACTATTAAATATGTTATTAACCTAAGGAAGAATATAAATGTTTATAACTATAAAATCAAGAGATAATATAGCTAAAGATAATGAAGAAATTTTCCAATCGTGTCCAGTGAAAATATTTTCAGTGAATTGCAAAACAGTTTGTGTGCTCTGATATACTCATGTAAAGCATGTGTAAAATTTTGTGTATTTCACCCATATGCAAGCAAGGTTTCTGATCACGTAATTGTTATTTTACTCTGGCTTTTACATGCAACCAATCAAGAATGTGTCTGAATGGGAAGGGAATCATGGTATTAACAGGAGATTTTGTTGTTGGGTTTTATTGGTTATATACATCTAATACATTCACAAATGATTATTGCAATGTAACGAAAGTAGTTTGAATAAAAGTTTGGCTGTAATTTGCACGTGGTTGTTAACATGTATGTATCTCTCTGACCACATCGTAAGTCAACAAATTCATGAAGCAATCTATTTAATAATGATATTCGAAACCTTTCCCATTAATGCAATTGTGAATTAATAAAAACAGTGAAAATGGTTCTTCCAACAAAATCCAAAAGCTTTGTTAGAACATAATATCCTAACAGATTCGCACTGTTTCAGTGGTATGCTATCCTAAGTTTAAAAAAATCAGCTTATTTTAGGCACTACGGTGTGGCATGGCCCTTGATTTTTTTGCACTAATAATTTCCGTACACGTCATGGGTTTATATCTTGATAAAAATAAGAGTAAGTAGCGTAAAGTGAAGCGGATTAGATTTTTGCGACATCCGAAGTGCTGGTGTGCAACTGTCCTGCACTTCATCGCACATTTGACCAACGACTGCTGACCTGCAGTTTTGACCGGTGCCCCGCAGATTTGACCGGTGCCCTGCAGATTTTACCGGTGCCCCACAGATTTGACCGGTGCCCCGCAGATTTGACCGGTGACTCAGAGATTTGACCAGACGCTGTCTTTGTCGTTTGTCCCCGGGGCATACATACTAAATATGTGCAGATGAAGCCCTGAAAACACACCGCTATTTTTTACAACATATTTTTACAACGTATTAAAATGTTTCTGTTTTTTTACTTTTGTTCAGTCATATTTTTGTTCACTCAGTCACTTTTGTTCAGTCAGATTTTTGTTCACTCAGTCACTTTTGTTCAGTCAGATTTTTGTTCACTCAGTCACTTTTGTTCAGTCAGTCTTACGATATTTTCAGTTCAAGTATATATGCGATATAACCCTACGCAATCCAAAGGGATTTCCTCCATGTCAAACAGTCCATAGCTGATATGTGTGTATTCGGCACGCATATTAAATCTCCTACATAAATGGCCGTATCTGTCTGTCGGTCTGTCCATCTGTCTGTCTGTCTGTCCGTCTATCTTCTCGAGACCTGTAAGAGGTGACCCCCCAACACCATATATATTCTGAATCAGCATGACGCCACGACATTTGCAAAAAAAGGGGAAGAAATAGAAAAGGAGATTTTCATTTTTTTTTGGAACTCCACTATTTTTGTAGGTAAATATTATTTTTGGCCACTTTTTGGCTAAAAATTTGACCGAAAACATTTATATTTAAACCCGGAAATGATGGATCTATCCGAAAGTACGGAATCGAATCTCAATTTCATACATGGAACGTAAAAATAGTAGCGCACTGCAGCAGAAAAGTAAAGAGGAATCCTAGCGCTTGACTATACACTGCAGCAGAAAAGTAAAGAGGAATCCTAGCACAGCAGAAAAGTAAAGAGGAATCCTAGCGCTCGACTATAGTCGACACTCGCCCTATAAGGGTTTTAATGTATGTGATAATGTATGTCATAATACGTGCTATCTGTATCTGATGAAATACAGATAGCACGTATTATCACATACATTAACCGATGTTAACCGATTGTCCGAAGTGAAATTCTTAGGACAGATTTATAAAATCCGAATAACATCAGTACAGCCGTCATGGCAGACTAAATTCTAGCTCTTTTCTCCTTTATCCCGGGCATCGCCGCCCAGCTAGTACATGGATAAAAGCCAATCGGGTATTAAATAGAAGAATGCTGAGGATGTCATTGCTTGCTTTATAATCTACGTGATCATGTATGTATGAGTAGCTGTTGCTGGTATGTATAATGGTTATACAGGGGTAGAAATTAACTTTTGAACACTGAAGTCCAACGGACTGGACTCTCTACCCTCAAAAAGAGGGAGTCCGCAGCAAAATTAGAGAGTCCGCAGTCTGAGGTTCAAACTTAAAGATATTAACAATAACGCATGTGCTTATTTTTAAGATTTATGCAGTTGCACGTCTGCCAAATTTTCTTGGGACATTACCTGAAAAAATACGGTAATTCCACGAGGGCGTGCTCCGGAATGAACTAGTCAGTATAGCAGAATTATCAGGGAGTTACACGGACTCCTGCATATGTCAAATCAGGGAGTCCGGCAGTAAATCAGAGACTATTTGATTCCGGACTCCCGCTAATTTCGCACCCTGGTTATATACACGAGCCTAGGCGTGAGAGTATTGTATACACTAGATATTATATAGAGATTATAATTTGGGTCGAGCGACGACAGACTGTTTTGCGTTTGTATAAGACACTGTCTCTTGGCTAGGAAAAACATTGTGATTATGGAGACAAATATTGACTGCACCTGACACCCGAGCATCGGATAACATTGAACAGAATCTACCGTACACTCCTTAAGTGAAAGATAAAGCCGGAAAGGCAAACCGCCATGAAATTGCATTTTTTTTTCATTCCCGTGACACTCCATCCAATCGATTTGACTAACCGATAATTAATTTGATAGATCGGTCACGATACAGTTTTGTTCTGTTCTTCATATACGTCCTGATAATATTCTATCAACCTTGATAGCACGATGTGCCCTTTGTACACAGAGATAGTACTGCCAATCTGGCGCATTCAAACCTGTAAGATTGCGGTTGATCAGATAGAGTGAAGGGAGAGAGCGAGAGTGAAGGGAGCACGGTGAAGAGCTCTTTATTTCTACATCGAGAAATAACAAACGGAATCGGGATGCCTAACGCGAATTTCACCGACTCCACGGTGTCGCTCGAGGGAGGAGTGATCGGTGAGAAATCCTCGAAGAGCGGCGGTTGTTACGTGTCCACGACGGTTGCCGTGCTCCTCGTCTTGCTCGCTGCCGCCCTCGTCATCGCCACCGGCCTCATCGTCGGCCTGGCTTTACCGGAGCCAAGCTGCGAGGAAGTGACAACGACAGTAGCGACAACGACAGTAGCGACGCTGCCACCGGTAACGCCGACAAACGTACCGATCGAAGGTAATCGCCTCATTTCGACAATTTAATGAGAAGTAAAATTAACCGAAAATTAACCGTCGGAGCTTTATATCTGCGTCATTCGTATGACCGTAAAAAGCGATTACGTATGAGCACGTCAACAGTGATATTGTTTGTCAGTTTCTCATTTCGTATAAAATGAAGCATAAAAAAAAGGGCGACAAACAAGTAGTGCTCGTTATTTTTGGGAAAATTTTTATTGCGATTTATTGATAGATTAATAATGAAGGCATGTGTTATGCGGTGTGTAGGATGGAGGCTTCCGGCGACTGTGACACCCCTTCATTATACTGTCGAGTTACATCCATATCTCGACCCTGCAGATATGGAGCCAAGCGAATTCTACTTCACAGGTTAGAGGCGCATGTGCACACACGCACGCACGCACGCACGCACACACATGCATATATATATATTATATATATTATATATATTTATTATAGTTATTATGAACAATGCGTGCGTAGTCAGCAATGTCTACGGAATGTAGGCACGTTCTGAACTATATAGAAAAAGTGTAAAATGCTGTGGCGCGGAAAACAAAAGAATGCCGATTAGAGTTATGCAGGACTCTGCAGGAAAGAAATTGAATGTTATAATTAAGTGATATATGAATTAATTTGACTAGCAGTTAAACCAAGATGACATATCAATAGCAGCAAGAAAGTTTGCTGTTATACCCTTATGATTATATTTTTGAACTAGGTTATTGGCACATAAACCGCCGCCAGGTATGGGTCTACAATTGTAAATACTAAATTTATATACTAAATGACAATTGCAGCCGGATGCACCCATGGTAACAGCACCGTAGCTTAGAAATAATTCTATTTATCAAAACCCCAAATTCCAACAAAACATTTTGGAAATAACTCTTCATGCGAAATTCCGTAATGAATTTCTAGAAACCACGTTCCTTGTGAACGATCCATACATACGACAGCTCTAAAATATGTTTGTCGATGTATCAGATAAAGAAAAAGTTTTAGGAGTGATTGCGTTGACAGCGACTGCTGCTGATTTGTTTGTAATAGATACCAAGTATTGTAACTTGTTTGATGTAGCTACAAACTGCTGTAACTGCATGTTTTGACATAGATACACTGGGTTATAACCTATTTGATGTAGATACAGAGGGTAGTACGTAACTGATGTGATGTAGATACAACAACAATTGTGATTTTTCCGCTGTGCCTACTTCATTCCCTGTGGCGCCACGCCTGTGTTTTACTCTGTGTGAGGTTTGATTCCTATACAGTCCCACGTATCTTACATTTTATTGGGCACAGTTTGGATTTATATTTTACACTTTCTTCTTTTGTCATCAATGAAACTGGTCAGTATCGCCATTACTTGTGCCGCTGCTACATTTGGCCCCATATTTCTGCACACGAGTTCTCTTGGTCACCTCTAATACTCGCAATTGGAGAAGAGTACACCACCTTGCGGCGTTTTTATGCAATACTGACCCAGTCCGGTAGGATAACCAATAGGGCACGCATACCTAGTTCATTTGCTGGATGGCATATGTCTGGTTGTCTTGCTGGATGGTTTTCTTGTTTATAACAACATACGTTAGATTCCGTTCGTTGCAAAACACTTACTGAATTTGTGATTACTCACTAGGAAAGGTAAAGATCGCAATCCAGTGTGAAGAGCCCACGAGCAGTATATTCCTGCACAAAGATGCTCTGGATGTGACTGAGGTCGTTCTACGCGACGAAGAAACTGGTGGATTGATCCCGAGCGTAACTGGTTCCAGTTTTGTCGCGGATAAACACCTTTACGAGATCTATTTAGATAGTTATCTATCTAAAAATCAAAAGTACAGCTTGGAAATGGAATTCAGAGGCAACCTTACAGCTGATTACCTGGCTGGTATTTACCTCAACAGTTACAAGGATGACAACGGTGCGACAAAGTAAGCATAGCAACAGTAACGAATTATTGTGCACCAACTTTTTTTCAGACTTTACATAGATTTCAGTGAAACATGCAGAAAGGCTGCAGTTTACATCAGTTGGGCCATAATAAAAATATTGTTTGTTTGGCCTAAGCCGACCGACCCGCCAAAAAGGATTTTTTCTTC